CCTTCCCCTTCCCCTACGACCCCTGCCCCTCCCCTCGTGGCCGACCTGCACGGGCTGAATCCTACGTCGGCCTCCGGCGATGAGGGGAGTAGTGGGACGTCGCCTTCGGCGCCGGCCAAGGGCATCGCCGGTGGTCGACGTGACGAGCGGCAAGTCGACGTGGGATTGAGTTCGACGTTGACAAGGGAGGAGCAGGTCGAGGAGCAGCAGCCGACAGGGGAGCAGGCAGCAGTGAAGCCGACCACGGTGAAGTCGGCAACCACGCAGTCGGCAGGGAAGCCGACCACAGGGGAGAGGTCGGCTAGGCAGTCGACCAAGGTGCAGCAGGACGACGAGGGCAGTGAAGACGACGACGAAGGTGGGGACGCCGAGGAGTCCACCAAGAGTGACGTGGTGGAGGTTCGGCCTGAACCCCGGAAGTCAGGCCGACTTCGGAGGCCACCCGACTTCTTCGTCCCCGCTGCCTTCACCACAGTGTATGACGTGGACGACGACGACCTGGCGTATGACGACGCCGAGGAGGATGAGGAGTTTCCGGAGCTCGACCCCGACATGCTGGCCGACCCCGAGCACCGTTGGGACATCTCGACGATGACGGTAAAAGAGGCGTTGGCGAGCTGGAAGGGCCCGGCGGTGAAGGTCGCCATGGAGGAGGAGATCCGCAGCCTCATCAACATGGGCACCTGGGAGCTGGTCGAACGCCCACCGGGGGTGAACGTCATGAAGAACCGGTGGGTGTTGACGACGAAGTACCACGTCGACGACACCGTCGAGCGCAAGAAGGCGAGGCTGGTCGTGAAGGGCTTCACGCAGGTGTACGGCGCCGACTACGACGAGACGTTCGCGCCGGTGGGCAGCTACGTCACGCTGAGGATCTTCCTCAGCATCGTCGCCGTCCTCAATCTCAACTTGATGCAGCTCGACATGAAGAACGCCTTCCTGCCGAGCAAGCTCGACCGGGTGCTCTACATGTCCCAGCCGGACTACTTCAACGACGGAACCGGCCGGGTCTGCAAGCTGCTGAAGAGCCTGTACGGCTTGAAGCAGTTGCCGCTGCTGTGGTACTTGGCGCTCAACGACGTGCTGGTCGGTGCCGGGTGGAAGAAGAGCCAGGTCGACGAGGCTCTGTACTTCAAGGTCGGAGAGGACGGAGTGGCCTGCTGGGTGTTGGTCTACGTCGACGACCTGCTCGCCGCCAGCAGCAGCACCGAGATGCTGAAGGAGTTGAAGGAGCTGCTGGAGTCCGCCTTCGAGCTGCGTGAGATCTCGCCGGTGCAGAAGTACCTCGGGCTGGAGATCGTCCGCGACAGGTCGGCGGGGAAGCTGTGGCTGCACCAGCAGGGCTACGCCGACAAGCTGCGAAGGCGTTTCATCGACGAGGAGCAGACCGGGCGCACCCCGAAGACGCCGGTCTCGGTCGACGCCTACGCTGATCTCACCTTCGACGACGAGGAGGCGCAGGAGCGACAGGAGGAGGAGTACCGGCAGAAGGTCGGCTCGCTGCTTTTCGCGGCGACAACGACGAGGCCGGACATCGCCTTCGCCTGCAGCAAGCTGGGGAGCGGCCTCACGGTGAGGAGCGACCAGCACTGGCGCGAGGTTGACCGCTGCCTCACCTACCTCGCCAACACGCGTGACACCGCCCTGGAGTTCGGCGGTGGACCTGAGTCGCTAGAGCTGGTCGGCTACGTGGACGCCGACGACGCCGGTGACAAGCAGAACAGGACGAGCACGGGTGGCTACGTGTTCGTCTACGGAGGGGCCGCAGTCTCCTGGTCGAGCCAGCGCATCAAGTGCGCGACGTTGTCGTCGACCGAGTCGGAGTACGTGGCGGCCACCGAAGCCGGAAAGGAGGGACGCCGACTTCGTTTCCTCCTTGCAGAGTTCCGGCAGCTGGACGCCAGGAAGCCGACTGTCCTGCGAGTGGACAACAAGTCGGCCATCACGGTCGCCGAGGGCATGGGGTTGACGGGCAACCTCAAGCACATGGAGCGGCGACAGGCCTGGCTGCAGCACATGGTGAGGCGCGGGAAGTTCTCGCTGAGGTACATCCCGACCACCGAGCAGCCGGCCGACTTCCTGACGAAGGCGCTGCACTATCCAGCCTTCAACCGGTGCTCCGTCGCCATCGGCCAGGTGCGCTTGGCCGACGTGGGCGACGAAGTTGACGACGTGCAGCAGTAGGTGCCATGCCCTCTTGCATGGCTGGTGCGGTGGACGACGTGCTGTGTGTTGGGTGCACGTCGACGAGCTAGTCTCCGAAGAGTACTGCCGTGTGGACTGGGGGCCCAAGCGAGAACGCGGCAGGGGAGTGTTAACGAGAGTTGTGTGTTGGCCCCGTCCACGCTTGGGCGGAGCCGACTTCGTGGTCGGTTGTGAGGGGAGCAGCCGACCTGCAGAAGTGGGCGAGCTGGTTGACGAGGAGGTCGACCTGCACGGGGACCACTGCACGGGCGCCGACTTCAGGGTGGCGCCGACTTCAGGGAGGTCGACCTGGGAAGTCGACCTGCGGAGGACGTCAACTTGGTGACGTCAACTTGGGGCAGCCGACTTGGGTGGTCGGCTGACGGACCTGCTGGTCGACTTGGTGGTAGGTCGACCAGGTGGGAGGTCGACCTGGTGGTTGGTCGACCAGACCTGCTGGTCGACTTGCTGGTGGTCGACCTGACCTGGTGGTCGACGAAGGAGGGGCCGACGTCGACTTCGACTCAGGACGACAAACAGTTGGGCGTCGAGTAGCTGGGCGTCAACTTCGTGACGCCGACTTCGGGTAGCCGACTTAGGAGGTCGGCTGACAACCGCGCTGGTCGATGAGGAGCTGGTCGACCAGAAGTGACGTCGACCTAGAGCTGGTCGACCAGGGGCGTGGTCGACCTGGTGAGGTCGACTTGGTGGTGGTAGTCGACTGGGGAGGTCGACGGGCACGTACGGGAGTAGCTGGTCGGCGTGGTTGCCCGGTCGACCAGGTTACCTGGGTGACTAGGTTCTGCGAAGGAGTGCGACGGTCGCCCAGGCAAAGTTGGCGAGTCCGACCTCGGTGGTGGTATCCCGAGGTCGACGTGGCTGATCGGGTGGAGTCGTCAGCACGAGGATGACCTGGTGTGTGTGCGTTGTGCAGGTGACGAGGCTTGGCCCGCCAATCATCTGCGCGCACCTGCGAAGCTGGAGCGCTGCTGTTCTGCGGGAGCAGCGCTGGCACGCCGTCAACCTGCGACGCTGGCACGCCGTCGACTTTGCACTGCTGGAGCGCGGTCGACCAAGTCGTGCTGGAACGCGGTCGGCCATGCTGCGCTGGCAGTCGACCGACCTGAATCCTAGCTCTGATGTAGTCTTGCCATGCCAACTTCATTGTATCATTGTTGTCAACTTTCTCTAGTGAAACTCTTGCCAACTTGCCCCATGAACTAGCAAGCAGTGTGTGCACTAGGAAAACGACTAAGGACCAACGAACGCAGAGATCACACGAGCACCCGTGCCTAGCCCGTAGTCTAGCTCCCGTTGTAATAGTTATCTCTGCAGAACCACCTCCCTGAAGGCAGTCCTAAAGTGATCCGCTGTCGCTCTTAGCACCTCCTTCGTCCCTCGGAAAGTCCTTCCCCCATGCGAAATTTCTTGTATCGATGTTTGTTTCTTCCGCATCTTGATCTTTGCCGACAGGTAAGGTGACGGGACTTCCCCGTTCAGCTCCACCCGGATGCCAGCCAGCACTTGTAGCCTGTCCCTGCAGCTCCGTAGGTAGGCCTCGAGGTGCGCCTCCTTACAGACCAGCCTGTTCTGCGCCCTTTTGTCACCTGGATGCCTCATCACCTTGTGCCGAAGAAGCTCGACCACCCGCTCAAGGTGAGTAACCGTTGCTTTCACTCTCTTCCTTTCCTCTCGCGTGTACTCCCTAAGGCCAACGCTGAGCAACTTGAACTTCTTCCCCAGGTCGACGCCTTCCTCCTTTTCCAGCTTTCTCAGGATGTTTGCAGTCACTGTACTGACCCCCCTCCTTTGCGCCTGTCTCGCCTGCATCCTCCACAGGCCCGGACCCTGATCCACCGGCGCGGCCACCGCCAGCCCAACCTTTATCGCAAACCAATGGTCAGACAAACCCTTCGGTAACCTGACGTGCCTTGCTTCCGCCAGCATCCCCAGTAGCGAGAAAGAGACCAGGCCCCGGTCGATGCGCGTGCTCGCCCCAGTCGCCCTGTCTCGGAAGGTGTATTCCGGCCTGGACGGGTGCAACGCTCGGAAGGCATCTCTGAGATCCGCCGTCCGCCAGAAACTCAGCAGCCTCTGATTCTCGTTGCCAGATCCTGACCGCGACGTCCGGTCCAAGTCCGGGCCCTCTACCAAATTCAGATCCCCCATCACTACCAGGTGATTTGACGGCGGTTGGGCATCAACGAACTGCGCAAGACAGCTCCGAAAGAACACACCCCTGGCACACGCTTGCGCAGGAAGGTACATCGCCACCAGCCTGAAGGAGATCTGTGAGTACTCCACCGTGACTCCTACCAGTCGTCCCGATTGATGAGTAATCACATCTGTGAGCTTGATCTCTTCATTGAATGTTAACACTGCAACACCTCCTGCTCTTTCACTATTTCCCACCACTGCCGCTGATGACGGTTTCAGCTGGGTCCAGACGTTGTGATCATCTCCTATCCTTGTGTCCGTGAGCACCACCACGTCTGCTGCTGTTTTAATCCAATGTGCATGCTCCGTTCTTTTGCCGTTACTTCCGAGGCCGTTGACATTGACCTCGCACAGTGTGTGGTTGCGGTTGTTACCCATTAATCCACTGGTAAGAGACCCCCTCGCATCCACGGGGTTGGTACAGAGACACCACTCCTACGAACAACTGCCCTTGCATATCAGGTAACGCACCACGCTCCTTCCGATCCCACTCGTTACCGCTCCACCATCCATTGCTTCCTTCACTACAAATGACAATGGTGGCTTAAAACCCTCGCTTCACTTCAGCAGACCAAACTCCTTGCGGATCGGGATCAGGTTCATCTCCCCCCTGCTTTTCCTGCTGGCCGACCCCCTTGCAGGAGTGCGGTGCAGTGCTGGACCGACTTCACATGTTCCACCGCCTGGGTGAAGCTGGAGCCATGCGCCTTTCCACACGCCTCCTGAACACACAGCCAGTCTTCTCGGCTTCCCCCCGTGGAGATCAGCACCAAAGCAGGATCGCGTAGGATCTTCTTTACGCGAGCGTCGAGTGGTAGGGACGCTGCTGCTCACGCAGGAAGCAATGCAGCTGTCAGCGAATCCAAGCGGGACCCTGACAACCTGAGAAACAAGGTTAGAGCGCCACTTGTTACCGTTTATCTCATGCAGGCGCTCCAGCGTCAGATTCCACTTGCCAATATTCTCCAGACGCTCCGTTACAAAATCATCGTGGAACTTTGTCATGTGCATGCCGTTGCAGAAATCACAGGAAAGCGATGGATAATGGACAAGAAGCAGCTTGTGGTGCACCGAGTCAGTCAACAAATGCCACCAGCGATACTTATCCCCCGGGTGGCCTTTGACCAGCCCCCTGATCTTGTCTGTGTCCGCACCAGTAACCGGATCAACCACCCGATGAAAGGCAGAGCCGCTAAGAAAAGGGGTCCTGCCACGCTTCTCCAGCACCGTCTGCACCAGGTACTCATAAACCATCTCCGGTGTTATGGCGGCCGGCACACTCTTCAAGAGCACTTCAATCGAGTCCGGGTGCTTCGCGCGTTCCATGATGTATAGCGGGTTCTCCGGGTGCTGCCAGTCGAGGGTGATGCCTACGCCGTTCAGCATCTTGTGCTCGACTCTGCGACACCATGCGTAGTTCGCATCCGACGCCTGCTGGAAGGTAACTTGCAGCCGTCCGTAACGTTTCTTTGACAACCACGCCGGTAAGAGCACTTGACATTTTGTCGTTGTCAGAACGTGCGCCGACATATGCCTCCTCCACAGCGCCAGCAGGCCGTTAACCGTGTCAATAGGCCGCTCCACCTCCTCTTCGTACTTGATCGGGATCAGCAGCGTGATCGAAAAACCAGTACGCGCGGCAATCTCTCCCGCCTTCACGGGATCGAAGCGTTCTTCCGGGTCGTCGCTGAGATACCCGTCATCCTCATCCTCCTCTTCGTCTTCCCCTTCAGCAGGAACCTCTGAAGTGACGGCCGGGGGCGTCACCTCATCCGTGTTCTTCTTTTCCTCCTCTGCCTTGTTAGCCCCATCCTCAGTGCGATCCTCCAGGGACGGGAACTTCAAGTCGTTTAACTTTTTCACCAGCGAGATGCGCGTGTCGTCCGCGAAAGGTCCTCCCACCTCCTTCAGCATCGGCCTAGGCGTCGCTGGTTCCGAATGGTGACTCTTGGACACAGATTCACGAGCCTCATTGTCTGTATGCCTGCTCACTGGCTGAGCAGCCTTCTTCGGTTGGCGCGGCATGGTGCGATGATGACAACAGCCAATACTGAAGCCAGAGAACCGTGACGAGAAAGGGCCTGATGAGCCTGACTGGCTAGTTCTGAGCACCGACTTCTTATAGGCCCGTCGCTTAGGCCTTGCCTTTTTCCTTGGTTGCCTTTGCCTAACAAGCCTATCCTCGAGACAAAGGTGACCCTTGATATGTGTGTTCTGTGATGAACCCTTAGCTCGACCCTTGGTAATGCTCAACGATGGACAAGTCAGCCTCGAGACACTCGTCTGGCTTTCAAACCTAGGAACTGTCGACGGAAGAAAAGGGAAGCCTGACAAAGAACCGTAGAATACCATGCTCGCCATTTGAGCACGAAATTAGTATCCTCGTGTTCCACTTGTCATGTAGACCCCGAATTCGTTATTTGAAATAGCAGCTGGTTAGAAATTGATCCTGCTCCCTCAGGTGTGTCCCAGGTAGACCCTGTCGAGGTAGCTGTCGACTCTGGTGCTGCTAGGGGTGCTGCGTCTAGGGGTGCTGAGCCTGAGAGTGCTGAGTCTGGAGGTGCCGTGCCTGAGCGTGCTGAGCCTGTCGGTACTTTGTCTGCTGGTCGTCCTACGGATGCTTTGTTGCAGCGGGAGCCTCTCTCTCCACCGCAGCTGCGCGAGTGGTTTGCTCGGCGCTAGAGCCTTCAAAGAGGCACGACTGGAGCTGGGGGGCCTGCCGCTGGAGGCCCTGGAGCTAGAGGTACTGGAGCTGCTGGTCCCGGAGGTGCTCGTACTGGAGGTACTGGAGCTGCTGGGGCAGGTGGTACTGCAGGCGCTGGAGCTGGTGACCCTGGAGCTGGCGGCGCTGGAGCTAAAGGTCCCGGAGGTACTGGAGCTACTAGTTCTGGCGATGCTGGTGGTCCTGCGGTGTCCCGTCACGGTGGGAGCCCCTCTCCACCGCAGCTGCGCGAGTGGTTTGCTCGGCGCTGTAGCCTTCGGAGTGGCGCTGCTGGAGCCGGGGGGCCTGACGCTGGAGGCGCTGGAGCTGCTGGTCCTGGAGGTAGCGGAGGTGCTAGAGCTGCTGGTCCTGGAGGTGCTGGAGGTGCTGCAGCTGCTGGTTCCGGAGGTACTCTTATTGGAGGTACTGGAGCTACTGGAGCTGGGGGTGCTCCAGGAGTTGGAGCTGGACCTGCTGGAGGTACCGGGGCCGCTAGTCCCGGAGGTGCTCGTACAGGAGGTACTGGAGCTGCTGGAGCTGGTGGTGCTGCAGGTGTTGGAGCTCGAGGCCCTGGAGCTGGAGACCCCGGGGCTGGAGGCGCTGGCCCTGGGGGTGCTGGTGCTGTTGGTGCTGGTTCTTGAGGCACTGTGCGCCCGCGACCGTACTTCGTTCCACTGCTTCAGCCGGTTCTTGGTCTCCTGTCTTCTACTGACCCCACTCCTCCCTTACTGTGTCCACCGCCTGACCCGTCGCAGCCACAATTACAGCCAGTCTCCCCACTGCCTGCTCCTTCTCCTTACACTGAGCAGACTGGAGGTCTTGCGGAGCGTCGTGAGCCTGTGTCTCGTCCTGCCTCGCCTGTTCGCGTTGTTCGCACTGGTCGTCGTGTTCCGCGTCAGCGTCCTCCTCCTGTCCCCGGCACGCACCATATGGCACTTCAACCTTCCTCTGTTCCACAGCGTGTTCCCCTGCCGTCTCCTCCTGCGTCCTCTCTTGCTGACGGACCGGACCCAGAGTCTGACTTCCTTCGTGCCGCTAGTCCTACTGTCACACGTCTTCTGGCCACTGTTGTCACTAACCCTTCGTTTGAGTCCACTGCTGCGTCTGCCCTAGTTGCTGAGCTTGTTGAATTTGCTGCCGCCTGTCGTCTAGACTACGCCGCTAGTCTTGTTGCTGAGTCTGAGTCTGTCTGTCCTCCGTCCGTCGGGGGTGAGTGTGCTCTTGGCACCGACGTCCTTGAGGACAGGCAAGAGGACTTTGAGTGCTTTGCAGCTGCTGTACCTCATCTCGTGTCCATGCTGATTGCACCTGAGGGAGACCCGAATGCACCAAACATCCCGACCCCGCGCCCTTACGCAGAGGCGATTACGGGTCCCTACTCCTCTCAGTGGCAGACAGCCATGGACGCAGAGATGGCATCCTGGAAGTCCACAAGCACTTACGTCGATGCAGTTCCCCCTCCTGGGGCAAACATAGTCGATGGCATGTGGATTTTCAGGGTGAAGCGGCCGCCGGGTTCTCCGCCTGCCTTCAAGGCTCGTTACGTTGCACGAGGCTTCAGTCAGCGACAGGGAGTTGACTTCTTCTAGACCTTCTCCCCTACCCCGAAGATGACTACTCTTCGGGTGCTGCTTCACGTCGCCGCTCAGCGTGACTACGAGCTTCACTCTCTTGACTTCAGCACAACTTTCTTACAGGGCAGCCTGCACGAGGAGATCTGGCTGCGCCGCCCACCTGGCTTCACTGGGTCGTTTCCTGCAGGTACCCAGTGGAGCCTCTGGCGGCCAGTCTACGGTCTCCGCCAGGCGCCTCGCGAGTGGCACGACACAGTGAGGACGACACTTGCGGCTCTTGGTTTTGCTCCTTTGACTGCTGACTCTTCGCTGTTTCTACGCACCGACACCTCACTGCTACCGTTCTACATCCTCGTGTACGTCGACGACTTGGTCTTTGCCACTGCTGACACTGCTGAAGTGGCCCACGTGAAATCGGAGCTGCAGAGGAGACACACGTGCACAGACTTGGGTGAGCTGCGCAGCTATCTTGGCTTGCAGATCACCCGGGACAGAGCACGCCGCACCATTACCTTGACTCAGTCACACATGGTGCAGCAGGTCATTCAGCGCTTCGACTTCCATTACTCCTCGCCACAGTCCACTCCTCTGCCTACCGGTCACTCGCTCTCAGTTCAACCTTCGGACGAGTCCGTAGAGCCGAGTGGCCCGTATCCAGAGCTTGTGGGCTGCCTCATGTACTTGATGACCTGCACTGGACTGGATCTGACCTAGCCTACCCTCTCAGCATCCTGGCATGCTACGTTGCGCCCGGGAGACACCGACCAGAGCACTGGAAGGCCGCTAAGAGGGTGTTGCGCTACGTGTGCAGTTCGTCGGGCATGGGGCTCTTGCTTGGAGGACGGGGTCGAGTTGTCCTCACTGGACACGAAGACGCGTCTTGGGTTGACGACTTGGCTACGCAGCGGTCGTCACAGGGTTACACTTTCAGCCTTGGCTCCGGCTCCGTTTCGTGGCGGTCTACCTGCTCGTCTTCTGTTCTCAGTTCCAGTTGTGAGGCTGAGATCTACGCAGGGGCCATGGCTGCACAGGAGTTACGCTGGCTCACCTACCTGCTGACCGACTTGGGAGAGCCGCCTCGTTCTCCTCTAGTTCTGTACGTCGACAACAAGGCCATGATTGCCTTGTGTAAGGACCACAGACTGGAGCACATAACGTAGCACATCGCTCTGCGTTACTTCCTTGCTCGAGAGTTGCAGCAGCGTGGTAAGCTTCGTCTTGCTTACGTGGCCTCTCGGGCCAACACTACTGATATCTTCACCAAGGCACTTCAGCCTTGTGATCATGAGCGTTTCTGTACTGTTTTAGGCCTTGTACCTACTTGGCCTCACTTGCTCACTTCATGACTTTGCTTGTACTGTGATCTATATACATATACCAGCGTGCTTGCACTTGTTAGGTTTTAAACACTGTACTGCTTGTTCTCTATTATATAACTCTGCATGTGGACTGGCTTTGTGGCCATTTGCTTGTGCTCGGAGTGTGTGGTGACTTCGTGATCCACCCTGAGCTTACTTTGCTTTTCTTGACTGGTCTTGTGACCTCTTGTTCTCCCCCACTTTGCCTATGGGGGTGTGTCAAACTTATATGTTGCATGTTGTGTAGGCTGTAGTGTGGTAGCCCATATGGGGTATAACCCAAATTAGGGTTAGTACTTGTACCCATCCTGCTGCTAGTTCATTCATCCTTGCTTTCACATTCTGCCAGTAAATTTTACCTACCTAGAAGTAGTTGTTTTAATTGTTCAGGTTGTTTTAAACAACTTCTGTAACACACGTTTTCGTGGTTACGAAAACGTGCGCCATGTTCAGATTGTGCAGGTGGTTCAATTCGCCCCCAAATTGAACACCCCAGTTCCACGCACTGTTCCCGGGGTTCAATTTCTCAATGTCCTGCAATGTTCCGAGATTCCTACGCAAAAGTTCCGAAACGATCGCACTTTCGCGTCGGAAGGGTTCGCCGGTCGAGACCACGATGCGCTTCTGCAGATGCGCAGAAATTCGCTTCTGCAGATGCGCCCTCCTCTGCAGACCCAATTTCTGCAGATGCGCTTTCCTCTGCAGCACCACAATCTGCTCTGCAGATTTGCCCTCCTCCGCAGCACCACGATCTGCAGATTCGCCTTGTTCTGCAGAGCTCCACCTCGACCTAGAACGTAGAATTTGCTTCGGCGGAAATCACCTTCCCTGCAGAACGCGACGACCCTCTCTGCAGTGTCAGTGCAATCTCAACAAACTCAAACCTCTATGGAATACGACCCCGTAATTCATCTATTAACTACTTCCTCTAGGATCTCAATGCTCTCAAAGCTAACAACAGGGCCAATCATCAAGTCGAAATCAGCTCCACTCAGAATATGCTTCATGCAGAATACAGGGCTGTTAGCGGTGGCTTATTATAACAGCCCTATAAATGTGACGGATAGTGACCACACAAGGTAGCAAGGTAACACCAAGAATCCCAGCCTTGACTCTGGTGAGAAGAATTGCAGTACGAAGAACACCCAGTCGCTCAACGGAAAGGAGGGGAATCCTTTAAATCCTACACGCCAGATGTTGGAGGAGAATGGTCCGAACGTCATTTTGAGCTGCTGATTCTAGTTGTTCCTGCAGATAATGCTGATAATATTTTCCAAGAAAAGGACGGAGAGAAGTCAGATCCGAACAAGGCTGCGGAGTCTGGTGGTGTGGTGAACCACGATATACCGGAAGGGAGGGGGGGGGGAGCAAGATATTGTAGACTCGGAATCCGAGTGGAGGACGAGGAGGACGATTATCTAAGTAATTGTTGAAGAGAAAAGGCCCCACATTCGCTTGGTGAAGCCGAATTCACTGTGCGGTGCGCAAGGTGTGCATTCGCCCAGGCCTCGTGAACGGCGCCGACTTGGAGGAGGAATTCGGCAGGTTTGGTTAGCCGACTTCGGCGAAGCCGACCACAGCAAATTCCACGAGATGGTGGCCGACAAAGTGAAGTCGACGCCTCACGGTCTAACAGTCAGTTGAGATGCAGGCATCAGCCTCAAATCCCATACCTTCAAACATGTCCAGAACTGACTAGTGTTTCTTTAACACTAACTAAATACAGGCAGAGAAGCAAAATGCAGGCATCCCTCGAACCAAAATGCATTAGCCCACAGCTAAAATGCAGACCAAGTTGTGAGAACTCTACGCTTCACATTCCTGACATCAGGAGCGAAAGGGTGGCAGCAGCAGCAGCTCCAGATAAGTTGATGGCAGCAGCAATGAGCGTGCAAGGGGCAGATGCCGATTGGGCCTTTGGTGCTGGCGCTGGTGCAGCTGCTGGTGCTGCAGCTGACTCTGGTGCTGCTGCTGACACGGGTACCTCGGAGAGTGCTGACCCTGGAAAACGGGTGCAATGTATTAGACGGAGGTAAAGCTTAATTTGCAAGCAAACGTAACTAGTCAGCCAGCACTGGTTTTGCAGACTCATTCAAAACCGGTTTGGCATCGATCTTGTGCTTGTTTTTGTGCAGGCAAGACAGCTTGGTTAGACTTACATGCACGGGGCGTGCAGGAGGAGCAGAAGGAGGAGCAGAGGCGGCAGAAGCTGGTGGTGTTGCCCTGCTGCACCACACACTTGCTGCCGTCTGCAGGGCAGGTCAGCCCCGTGCCCGAGACGTTCCTGGGAGCGAGGGGGCCAGGGGAAGGAGAAGAGAAAGGAGGACACATACACAAACATGCACATTTGCTCATCCAGTTGTTTCCTTTACCACCAATCGTTTCTTGGATGAGCCTTACCAACTGCAAAATTTGAGGTCCCTTTCAACTCAGTAAAAACACTTCAAAGTTCGGCCAGAAAAGCAATGCCTCACTGGCAATAATAAAAAAATTAAGCATGCATGAGTATATCGACAGATCAGCTCACAACTCATTGCAAAGCTTACTTCTCATGATTACTGAGTGTTTTTGTTCGGCTGTAAGTTATTATTCCTGAACTCCTATACGTTAGCAGTTTGCTGTTTTATGTTCAGTGTCATATTAAGCACACGAAGTTTGGAATAGGATCAGTATTCCTGAAACGCACGTCTCCTCGGTCCAGATTTCGTTCATACATTTATGGCAAACACGAATGTCTTCAGAGAGCCAACTGCTCAAATACATGCAGATGCTGTGACACTTCGTATTCATTTTATATTCAAGTGTTTTGATGAGAGAGTCATGCAAGCAGGATTGATCACATTAGGCTAGTGATAGACGGAGATAGGCCGTGCCACTTACAGGGATGTAAGACTGAGTAGTCTACCCAGAGTAGCAGGTATGGGGCCACTCAAGTTGTTGCCTCCAAGACCCCTGACATGCCATGCCATGCCATGCCATGCCATGCCATGCCATACCATGACATGCCGTGCCATGCCATACCATGCGTTGCCATGGTGATTTGTGCCATGCGGTCTCGTGCCGTGCCATGCCATGCCAAGCCATGTCTTGCCGTGTCATGCCATAGCATGCCGTACCACACCATGCCCATACCATGATGAAAAACTCCAATGAACAAGGTGCACTGAGGTTTTGAAATGATGAAAGTGCATGTCAGCTTTGCAGCAGCCACACCCCAGCTAGTGCTGCCACTGTTTGGCACCACTAGCTGATTGTCTTCAAGGCACCACTGTTTGACACCACACGAAGGCGTTCGTGTGAAGTTATCACACAAAGGCACCACTCGGGCTTCAACGGCACCACTGTGTTTGACACCACAGCACTCCCTTCAAGGCACCACTCGGGCTTTAATGGCAGCATACCTTCTTCACTACCACCAAGCTTGCGGCTCACAGGTGCTGCAGCGTTACAAAGCGAGAAATGGAGTCAGGGATGGAGCCACTGAGCTGATTGTCGCTCACATCGCTGGGAATTGAGTGGTTGTGGGAGAGAGAGAATGAGAGAGAGTGGAAGGGAAGAAAAGACGAAGGGGATGAGGAGATTTTGCAACACATTAATCTGCTCATCTCACAGTGTAGTTCGAGCACTCTGCTCATCCCATAGTGGGTTTCGAGCACTCTGCTCATCTTTCAGTGGCTTCTACGCACACCGAGCCATAGGTCTGTGGTCATGTGGCTGCTAGAGCACTTGTGGCTTGTGGATGCTAGATGAACTCTTTCCTTCTTAGATGGTGGAAAATACGACAGAGGAGTTTTGAAGGGCACGTGGAGTGCGATCTCACAGCAGAATTAGGGATGGAAGTTTCCACGAAGCAAAGTCAGGTAATGATCCAGAGAATGCATTGCCTTGCACCTCACTGTGTGGTTCGTGGGATGTGGGATGGGGGAGTGATCAGCATTGTGTATGGTTAAATCATGACAAGGAAAGGTGATGATTATGTACGTAATGTAACGGTTGTCCACGCTGTAATATTATGCAACACCCTCCCTCCCTCCATACACGAAACATTGCCTCCAGCACACGAACTTGCCTCCCTCCCTCCATACACGAGCTAGCTACCAGGTGCACTTACAAAACAGCAAGTCCTGGGGCAAAGAGGGCAGCAGCAAGAGGCCCCTCGAGCTGGTTGTGAGCCATGAAGCTGCAGAGATTGTATGGGCGATGGTGGAAGGAAGTGAAGAGACGGTGACATGATCAAAAGCGACGTGCTGATTCCGCTTGCATAAAACACCATCTTTCATGTCAGAAGCGGTAGTATTACGTCAGGGCGCTTTATGGCACATGGTTTCATAGGATGACAGTGCCGTAAGAACATGTAGCCTGCTAAGCAGTTCTGCTTGAACAATTTATTCCGTGGTGGGACAAACCCTTGAGGTGGGCACCCCAAACACAAGCAACTGTGGCTGGTCAATCCGTTCACAACTCTCACCAATCAAAAAAGCAACAGCATGTACCGCTGCTGTAGACTTTCAACCACGTTTCAAGTTTCCCTCTAGCTTTCCTTGCTATGAAAGCTATGAAGCTCCTTTGCTAAAAGTAGATGTTTACAAGTTCTCTCAGACACAGCTGCATGCTGTATAAGGTTCTCCCGCAATACTGCTTCCTGGTCTGATTGTGCTTTTCATAGATCACATAGGCAGCACAACTCAATAAGGAACACATTGACAACTCTTTCCATGAGCTCACCTTGCCGTTATGTACCACTCCTTACCTTCCACTTCAATTGAAAACCATTTGGCAGGACAAGATGCCGCACTCACAGGGACACTAGGCCTGTCAGGTCCCAAAAGGCACTTGGAACAACGCCATAGAATTGGTTGTGGGATATGTTGCTGTTGATGCAGGTGTAGGTTTGGCAAGATAACGGCACATCCGTAAGAGGGGGAAAGGACATCATATTGGAAAAAAACTACCGCAAACTCAATTGCCAGAACAAAGGCTCGTGATGTAACCACATACAGAGTTTCCAAGAGCTTCTGGGCAGCCATTTCTGGTGGAAGAGGTCCCGTGAAGTTGTTGTGTGAGAGGTTGCTGCACGTAATAATGGATACAGTTGGATGCAATGAATTGTACACTTCAACAAACGGCCCAGCCGGTCATTATTTTGCCGGGTTGGGCCATCCTGGGAGTACCCTGTCCCGATGAAGCCTATTTGAGTTAATGGGTCTCGGGTCACGACTGATAAAAAAATACATCTCGGGCTTTTATGACCTGTCGGGTTGGGTTGACCCAGCCCCATCTCAAATCAACGCTGCTGAAATCATGTAGCGCAGCCCGGTCCAATGGGTCAAGAAGGGGGAAGGGGAGATGGACAAGTAAAAGCTCACTCCCCATCCCAACCCATGATTAGTTCTCCTACTCATCGTAGTATTACTCATTGTAGTATTACTCCCCATCCCAAGGATGGAAGGATCTGGTACTTAAGAAATTTTCGGCAGAGGAAATCTTCAGGGAGACGAGGCTAATTCGCTCGCCGTCATACCGCCCGAGAGATTTTTTCTACTACCAATTGAAGTATGTGAGCCACGGCGTATTTTACGGACGGAGGGTGACTGTGGATAAGAGGGGGTATCGGCGATGGAGTATGCCAGCGTGGTAACGGTGGACTATCTGCGCGCTACCCCTATGGCTGTCATAGATGGGACAGTCCGTGGTCTACTGGGCACCCCAAGAACACGGCTGCTCTACTCTCCATTTTGTGAGAAAGGCGAGCGAGCTGAGCTGAAGCAGCTGAGGAAGGCGATGAGACCCACAGTGACTCAGCCTAAGCAGCAGCTACGGTGGGAGGAGGAGATGGGGAGGAAAATTGATTTGGGGAAGGCCATCACGGTCCGAGACTCGCTAGCAACCCCATGCAGGGCACGTGAAGTGGTGCTGAGGGTTCACAGCAACAACCTACAGGTGGGGGAGAGGCTCCCCTTCCTGGGCGCAAGGGCGAAATGCACACAGTGTGGCGGGGTGGAGTCGCAATATCACTGTTTATTCAGCTGCCCAGTATTTCAGCCAGCGGTTGAGGTGATGAAAAGGGCGGTACAGTGCATGAATCCAGGAAGGGAAATGAAGTCCCTCGGCGACATGCTCTTTCAAAAGAGTGGCACGTCGTCGGGTTTCCCGGAGGCTGCAATCATTTCAATTACAGCACAGCAGGTTTGGCTGGAGAGGTGCAACGCGGTTTTCCGTGGCAGTCGTTTCCAGCCGAAGAGGGCACTGAGGCACATAGCAGTTGGCTTCACAAGGCACGTGAAGGTATACAGCAGGGCGCGGAAACGAATGTCTGGCAGAAGTGGTTCGAAAAGGACAGGCGATTGGGGCCACCTGAGCGATGACGAGGCAAACGCTTTGCGCAGATTGTACGAGGATGACGCTACGATGACGTGGAGAGCAGGTTTCAAAGCAATCTGGGAAGATGGCGGAGTAGCTTTCCAGCTTCCATAAAAAGGACGAGGGGGGTCGGTTACTTGTAACTTTTTGTGCCCTCCTAGCATCAGTTACGACTACGGATGTATGTATGCGTGTAGTGTACTTATGTCCACAAAAAAAAAAAAAAAAAAAAAAGGAATTACTCGTTGGTACACTTCTTCCTTTGCTCGGACAGAGTGCACTACTCCTTGCAGGGCATGGCACCCAAACACGCCTTGTTTAGTAAAACGCGGCTGCTCACACCAGGTTCCTTGGGCGACAAATACCCTAGGCCTGCACAGAGATCTGCGGCAAGCAGCTACTATCGTGCAGGCCTCTCGCCTGTGACCGCAAAAAGACTCCTCGCCAGCACTGCATACGCCGGCTGATGCCACGCATCAGTACCCGGCAGAAAGATAGTACCAGCGTGCCCCGCAACCGCGTCGCACCACCCACCATCCCTGCACCATGCCGGCAGAGCCATGTAGGGAGAGCAGTGTGGGCTGAGAAGCACAGGCAGACTAGCACCTTTGGGGAAGTTAAGAGGCATAGAGCTCCAGCCACTTTAGCATAGCAGTTCCCCCCTTCTCAAGCAGAAGAGGCATTGCACCAATGAGCCGCTGGGTCAGGCAGCACTGGCAGTGCTGCGCAGGCAGGCTGGCACAACACAGGCTGAGCTGGGATTGAAGCTTCGGCAATGGAGAGCACAACAGGGAGGGCCTGCGCTTGCAGAGTCGCGCATGCCTAGCAGCACAAACCTACTACGCGTGCCACCATGTGCAAGAGTGCGCCTGAGCAAGCAAAGTCAGGCTACCACTTGTGCCTCTCGCCAATGTCCCTACCCACTTAAAATTTCGGGTAGTGGGTTCCAGGTGACAGTGAGCGATAAGGGAGAGAGGGGTGGAGTGTGAGGAAGAGGATGCAGGGAGGGAGAGCTTCCGGGTTCCACTACCATCGAGTCAACAATGGGCCAATGACTCATTCCGACATCGATTGTGCCGAGGCGGGCAAGGGGTTGGGACGGAGGCAGAGTTATGGGGAGCGGGCATCCACATGGCGAGGAGAGCAAGGGGGTCGTGAGTGGGGTTAGAGGGAGAGGATTCCAATCACACAGACGCAGTTGGCCTCCAGGAGCTACGAGGGGTGAGGGTTCACCCCCCTGCACAGATCTTTGCTGTTTCTTGAGGGTATTGCTGGCCCGACAATGGCTGGTTCTCTTATGAGAATAATTGCAAACTAGGTGTGAAGGATCGGCGTTGTTGTCGAGTATGTTGGGAGAGTTATGACCACGGGTACAGCCACTGGTTGGAAGCATCTGCGCCCCTGCCACTCCTCCCAATTCCAGTTATGGAGGCATTTGTTTCTTGACACGAACAAGCACAAACATTCGGAGTTTCTGATGGGGAGTTACACTGCCGTTTCGAACAATTTTACTCCGAATGGACTTACGTACCATAATAGATTGGAAATTGCGGTGACTGGTGGGGCAGGACACCGGTTCAGCAGCTGTTTGGGACCCAAAGCCTTCATCCCCTCGTTTATGGTGCCACAATTGTCATTTGTCAGTGTACTCAATCTGTTTGCCGGCACTAGCTTTGCATTCCACAAGCCTTCAGCGCACTCAACCTTTGAGACCTAATCGTTTGCAACTGCCTTATGACTGACAAGCACCACTTGCTCAGGCCATGCATGACAAGGTACAGATTTACTTTGACAAGCTGAGGCCGAGAGGCGGGTGGCCGTTGACCTACTGGCAACCCAGGAAGGATGTTACTTCTCTGTGAGAGATGCCTCATCATTACGTTGCGATTTCCACCACCGCTGCCCCCAATGGATGTGTTTTCAGTTTGGGTAGGGACGTCGTGGGTTGGCAGTAGCACCGTTCAACTGTTAAGTGGTGCGTGCAAGCAACTCCTGGGACCGCCACATTGCTGACACTGGACTGGCAGAGCTTTGCTTCGAGGATGAGGATAACGGTCTATGATTTGCTGGGCCTGTAGGTCTGTCCCTCTTCACGTTTTGTGGCTGTGTTTGTTTTTGTGCTAATTTTGAGTGTTTTTATGTTACTTTGGTTACCAGAAAAAAAAAATCTGCAAAACTGAAATAGACCAGACCTTTCAACCTGGCGTCAGAGAAACTAGAGACTAAAGCTGATTTCGGGTTGACCCAAACTGACTTGAGTCAAGTGAAGTCAGGTTTGGTTGACCAAGCAATGACCATATTTGACGGGTGGTATGGTTTGGATGTTAGGGAAATAAGACGTCTGCGTAACATGATAAAAAATGCGTTACATGTATGAAACAGAATCGGTGGCTTCAGAATACAAGAGACTGTCGGGGACAGGTCCAGTAAAGTGGTTGTTGGATGCGTTGCTGTGAAGGAGGAAGGGTGGCAAAGGAAGGACAAAAATTATGTACGTAGATGCTGAAAAGAGAAAGGTGGGAGGATGGGAGAGATTATTGAGTCAAGTCAAGGAACAAGAAAAAGGGGGAAAGGACATATAAAAGAATAAGGTGACGCTGTTCATTTAGCAAGATACACCTAACCAGTTACATTCATAAGCCAAATAATGGCATGGGACTTTCTTTATTTAGTTTACAGATGAAAAAAAAAAGAAAGAAATACATATATTACATCCCCTGTTATGAATTTCAGTTTCAAATTGAATGGCCCAGGTCCGTAAGACACTTACAGCAGTTTGAATCCAATGGGCGTGAATGGAAAAGGACCTGAGAAGTTGCATGATCCAAGATTCCTAGGGATCCATGGAATGAATAAGAGTTGAAGAGTAGGGAGAAGCGGGATAGGGGATGATTTGACAATTAGAGGTCATGAGGGTAGAAACATGGAGTTGGAAAACAAGATCATCCAGGTTGATGCAGATGAGATTCTCGCCAGATGGCACAGTGATATGTAGGATCAGCCTTATCCCGTCTAGTTAAACCGTCGCTGATTCACATACTGCCCAGTGATTTCTCACAAACATCACTCACAGTACTAATTCATCAGGTGGGTCCATCCAAAAAAGGTCATCCAAGCCTTTACTGAGAGGATTGTAGCTGAGGTCTCTGTTGAGGGCATGAGAGATGGTTAGCATGTCAAGCGAACACTGGTGACAAATGAAATGCTGTAGAGGCAGAGGCACGCAATGTGGTGGATGAAAAGTAATGATGTTGAGCCTAGTCGTGGCTGTTACTGGCAGCCCCTCAACGTCTTTCCATTGATGTGGAGTCATTTACAAGCCGACATAAATCGCATGTGAGAGAAGGTCACTACAACCAGTGATTGTTCTACATTTTATCATTGGCTAGTATAGCTTCAGTGCACGTGGGTTGAGAGTTACCGATGTGATCATCCAAAGAATCCAACCCATGCTCCCCCTCTCACTCTATCTACGCCACAGCCTACATGCTCCATCTACGTCAGATTTGCCCATCTGGCTCCAGCTTGGGTCTGAATGGCCGAGAGTGAATCAGCTCGGGCCGACCGAGTCCCGGGTAAGGCCAGACCATCATAGATTAGGAAAAGCCCGTGGCTAACAGTATACAGTATATGGCTGGAGAAGTTACTGAAATCTCGGTTACATGTTTCACTCAGATCATGCACTCGTCTAAGGTGTCTGCCACAGTTCGCCTTTTGTTGCATACGATGCACCGACCATTTTAAGTTGTGGCAAATGTCAATAAGGCATTAGTCAGATCCGATTCATCTACAGTTATTTTTACCATTTTCTTCACACATCCTCCTTGTCTCTTAATTACTCAGCCCGCCGTTCCATCGGTGATTCCTACACTTTAGGTTAAGAATTTCCACTGTTCCTAGAATTGTGCTACCAACCCTAGGTCAAGCGCTTAGGTGGGTAGGCACTAGAGCAGCGGCAAACCACCCTAACAATCTCCCCTGTGCTTTACTAGGTTCGACCCTCCAATGGTTACCATGAAAACAGCCCTCTTCTTGACCCGTCTTTCCCTTCCTTCAGGAAGTGTGGCATCATTCATTACTGCTCCGCTGCCCCCCAGCAATTTCTTGAAGGTGCGCATATTGCCAAGGTATTTGCAATTCTCTAAGTTTACCTCAAGGAGCACTATACTGAAAAATCGCCTGAGATTTTCTCTGTTCCACACACCTTGGCGGCTGTTCCATATAGGTGGTTTCCTTCAACATTTCATAGAGGAAGACCTAATCAAGGGTCTAGATGGACCATGAAGTACCCTCGTGTCATGACAACTATAAGAAAATTCCATGCTGTAGTTTGCTTTTTGACCGGTGTGTAGGTCTGGGTGTGATTCGTCCTTGTACTTGAGTGCCAAACTTCATGATCTGAAGCATTCGTGTTGCTCCATGGATGTGGTTCCTTTGTATTCTTGGATCCCACGCATGTTCTGTGCTTCATATTCCTTTCCATCCTTTACTACCTTAATCCTCAGTTGCCATTGTTAGTGTTAGCCCTCAATCTCACACTATATATTTCCACATTTTATATCCTAGCGTAGTGTAGTTTGCACGTTGTGTTTGGTTGGGTGTACACCTACACCCCAGCCAACCCAAATTTGCTCTCCATGCAATCTCCAACCCACCAATTGGAGATTGCCTTGGAATTACCCCCAATCCCTAGAGATTGCCCCTGATTTCCTTCCCCATCCTTTCATTGCCCATCTTAGATGTACTTAAAGAGCTTCGAGCTCATTACTAATGTATGGATTCTAAGCTCACATTCTGACAGCCATGCTTTTCTTCTTTACCAAGTCCTTGTGCTGGGTGTGTCCAGCATGCCCCATCCTTCGATGCGAGTAGGTTGTCGACCATCGTAATCACCACTGCTGCCATGGGAAACGCCTCTGCTGCAACTTCCTGGTAAGCACTTTCTCAAGCTTGCTATGCAGCTCAAGCTTGCTATGCAGCTCATCCCTTGTCATCTTGCCTCTTCCGGTTCAGCCAAACACATAGTGTTTCCCTCATTCTGATTTTCACAAGCTTCTTCCACTATTACATTTCAGTCAATAAGCTAACAACCATAGACATCCTTTGTGACTGAAGATCATGCATCAGCTGCTATTTTAATGAGATGGGCTGATCAGGATGAGTGTGAGCACATTGTCCAGCTTCGTTTTCATTGTATGAAGTTTGCAGCCAAATCTTCCTCTCTTTTCGCCGGGAGTCTGCCTTCAGGTCTCCAAAAGGATTGTAGCATGGAGAAACTGTGTACGCGACGGACCAGAAATAGCGTTCACACTACAGTCTCAATCCACTCCATATTCTTACGGGACCGTAGCGTGGAACACCTGGACCCATCATGTGGAAATACTATGTGGAAGCATCCATGAGGCCAGCATACTGGCCTTGCATGGAAGCTCCGCGCTGTGCTAAGCAGCAAAGACATGAAGGTTGAGGTGCGAGTGTGCATAGAGCTCTTGAAGTAGATACCAAGAGATTTGCTGGAGCCATCACCTTTTCTTGACATGCAGGTGCTGGCCATAACTCACAGTTCACGAATTATCAACACGCTGCCTTTGATGGGCGGGAGTCTCCTGATGTCGTTGTGGCTCAGCTTGCTGAAGGGAGAAATACGGATGGATAAATATTAATCATATGGTGCCATCACGCTTTGCCAACCAGATTTCCATGCATCCCGATGGTAGCTGAGAAAACAAATGGTGGCATAAGCTCATGTAAGGCAAGGGTCACCACAATGCAACGCATGGGGGACATGATATGCTTATGTGGCTCATGCCAAGACAGACCCCATTCATCATGACTTGGCTTGAGCTTACGGTCATTTGACACGCAAGCCACTATTGAAAACGAGCCGAGAACCTGAATGCATAGCCATAACACGTATCTTCCTATCAAGGATATGAGAGTAGATTTGAGGAGATGAAAGGAGATGAGAGAAGGTAAGGTGGGGGGAGAGGAGATAAAAAAAAACATTGAGGATAGAGTATATGAGTCTTGCAGGAATTGGTGGGTATCATCCACTAGTAACACCCCATTTAGCAATATCAGTCCGCACTAAGCTCGATTCATCACAAGTTCACTAGAGTCATCACAATTTCTTTCAAGCCACCACAACTTCCTATCCGCCATCACAAACATTGAGTCTGTTGACTGGTTGAATCAATGCAGACTAGGCTCCTCCAATTGAGTTGGCGAAGCAGTGACCAATTCAGTCTTCTAAAAATGACTCGAATTGAGTGAAGTCGGCCTAATCAAGGCATCGGCTTGCTGTCAGTGGTCTCAAAACACAAGCTGATGGTGATTCAACTCCCCTCTATGAAGCAACATCACCCATCACTTTCTTTCTATATCATATGGTCCGCACCAACACACGACAAGTACAGGAAAACTTAACTACCAAGACGTCACACCCAGCCAGGGACATCGGGTTTAGATGACAAGACAAAAAAACTTATCCAGTCGCTCCAAGTGGAATATCTGTCCTGCACCTTGGCAGCAGCTGCCCGCCAACCGAACTGGTGCTGGTAGGGTTGGCGACGGCCTTGGAAGCAGAGGAGGCTGCTGACGCAGTCTCATGAATCTCAGGGTCGTGATAGCCTCTGGTCATGCTTGGAAAGAGGTTTATACGTGAACTGGTTCTGATGCATGAATTTCACTCAAAACAAGGTGATACAGAAGTTAGTTATCATTTAATATCATTTGCATTTTGCGCATTCTTCCCATCATCGCATTTGTTCCAATTTGAACCACTGATTCTGCACCAAACTAGCTGTATGCGGTGTTCAGTTTCACCACGCTCGCATCCGGGGTTCCTCACCATTCCATTCTTATAAAGCTTCCTCTCTTGCTCGCCTCTTGTGTTTTACATTCACTCCCGCCGTTCTAGCTTCTAGGTTCCACGAGATACCTACACATTCACCACCGTTCCCACCAATGCCTCGCCCTCAGCCAGATTCGGTATCAGTCTCTCTCCCCACCTCTTACTCTCCTTGACTCTCCACCTGATCTCATTCACCCCAAGCTCACATTACATAGGCATTGATGTCCGTAAGCACTCTGGTGAAGTGGTTGTGGGAGAGGTCTCTGCATGCAGCGAGGGCACGCGGTAACAGTAGATGGTACAGAATGTGCAGTTTGGAACAGCCTGAGCACGAGGCAGGTCTGTGAAGCACGACAAAACGAACACCCTCAGAATGCAACAAGAGACACTCAAATGTTGTAGCTGGAAGATCCCACAAATTGTTTACAGAAAGGTGCAAGGAGACGTTCAAACATGTTAAGGGAGACTTCCTGCAAGACCCCACCATCTGAATCCAACGTGAAGAGTGGAGGTGCGTTGCAACTCAAGCCACTTGTGTCCACATGTGCGGAGAGGCGGGCCTTGAAGACTCACATGGTTTCAAGGAATGCGCTAGTGGCAGGAACGACACCGGTGAGATTGTTGAAGGAGAGCCCCCTGTGTTGTGTGCAGGCAGGCACACGGCGTGTGAGGCCAAGGCGGGCACATAAATTATGCATCTATTATGTACACAGATGTGGTTTCCTATTTGATGGAGAGGAATTGAACCGTGTGTTTTGTGGCGTTGGCTTGGCTGCTTGTGCTGTTGTGATTCCCTATTGCCGTCGCACCCTTTCCTGGGGTGGTTCAATCTGGATGTCTTATTTTCTTCACACATCGTAGGGAAAGGTAGTTTGTTAAATGATGCTGATGCAATTCAGCATGAGAAACCAAGGCAAATGTGTAAGATGGGAGGTAAAGGATAGAAAACGAGGGAGTGTATGAAAATTGAGTTGAAAGGAAACCAGGGCTGGACATACGCTTATGACCATTGCGGTGTTTCAATGAGTATGACCATGGTTGATACGATGTCTCAATGATCAAATATCAAAGCCATGGTTCGCCTTGAGTCAACTCGATGACGCTCTTTGGCATGCTGGTTTGGGTTGGGCGGGCGTGGTGATAGCCATAGGGAAGATGTGAGGGCCGTACAGATACACCAGGGAGGTTAGGTTGTTGCTGATGCCAGCAGGGATGCTCCCTGAGAGGCTGTTGAAATAAAGCTCCCTGATGGGGCCATTGCGAGTGTGTGATGGGGATGGGAATACCTTGCAGGGAACCACAACCACAAGATGAACCAAATTCACGGGATGAAGTGCTTTCACAAAAGCTTTCTCACCAATCCATTCTCCTACTCGCCCCTTGTCATGGTGCGTTTGCATATTACAACCTGGTGCGTTTGCATATCACAACCTGGTGCTTTTGCATATCACAACCTGGTGCTTTTGCATATCACAACCTGGTGCGTTTGCATATCACAACCTGGTGCTATTGCATATCACAACCTGGTGCTTTTGCATGTCACAACCTGATGCGTTTGCATATCAGGTGGTTCTCCCATTGTTTCTCTACAACCACTGCATCTCGAATGGGGTTCTTGTGGAATTAGGAAGGAGACAAAGGTTAGACGAGAATGGGGGAAAGGGAGGCGTACAGGTCAGTGAGATTGGTAAGGGCGGAGATGGTGGAGGGGATAGAACCAGTGAAGCCATTCAGACCGGCCCGGCTGGAGGTGGGAGGGGGGGAGGGGGTGGAGAGGAGCACGCATTGGTGGCTGGTGGGCAAGGCAGGCAATAAGTAGATCGGTCAATGTCAACAATGGATTAGTTGGAGAGTTCTCGAACCAATACGGTCGGCTGAGCAGCTCAAGGTGTCATATCAAAATGGTGTGCTCTTGACAGTGTGCATGGCTCACAGAGTCCGCAGGCTTGAAAGTGCCATCCATTCTGTGGGGAACGGTGCAGAGCGGTGGACGTCAAAGTTGCCGGTGACGTCCCTGAAGGGTGGCATAGGTCAGGAGGGTGGGGGAGGCTAGTCGGTGGAGAGGCACGAGAGGGGAGCATTGAAAGAGGCATCAACGTGAATTTTGACTCTATCCCACTGGCTGTCCTGAACCCATCTAGCCACCCTGCAATCCCTCTAGCCATCGTTCAATTGCAGCCCTGGTCTGCCATGATCCATGCGTTACCCAGGGCACGGTAGCACAGCACAGCACATGGCAGCACATGTGGAGAGCTCAGGGAAGAAATTCAGTAAAGACTGCACAAATCAGTTAGCGACCTGCCTGCACAAATCAGTTAGTAATGAGGGAATTATTCAAGTGGAGGCTTAGCAAGCATTGGTAAAGTTCAGGCAGCAAGCTAGGAGAGCAGAAAGCGAGTGCGCAAGTGGAGAGATTGTTAAGAGTCGAAGGTGGTGCATTATTCCAAGTGAAACACTAATGTGACAAGGAGCTCGGGGTACCACTCACAAATGAGAGAGCCTGGAGAGTGAACTGATCCATTGCGGTAACTGGGTGATGGAAAGGAAACTTAGGTCACTGCCACAGAGGGAAGACAAAAAGGAGGACGACGTGAACACACCCCATAAGCTCCTTGTGGCCCCTGTTCTCTTGATGGTTCAATCATAGGAGCTAGGGGTCCTTTGAATATTGACATGTTTGCGTGCTCTCTTTTGGAATTTAGTACGTGGGATGGATCAGATACTTCTGATTTTTACTTGTCGTAATATTACACTTATGGGAAGGGGTTCACAGAGTTTTGAGACGTCTCAAAAACATGATGCATTTATGAGAAGGGACTTACAGTGTTCTGAGTGACGTAAGGGCAGAGAGAGAGGAAGGGAGCTTCCCAGCAGTCAGGTTGAGACTCATGAGAGCGCTGAGGAGAAGTGGTTATGGAAGACAGTGAGGCACGAGTGCAAGGGAGATGAAAGACAGAAAACGTGGACTCAGTAGAGGTGCGGGAGCGAGAATGTGAGCGAGTGAGGCGTTGAGCATGAAGGACAAGCATTCGCCGTGTGGAATGTGGGGGAGAGACCTGGATGGGTGCTGCAGTTTGCAACTTTATTCCATTGAGAAAGGAGAGGGAACACGGAAGGCGGCCAGGGATGAGTGAGACGGGAGGTGTGTAGGTAGGGATGAGTGAGACGGGAGGTGTGTAGGGATGAGTGAGACGGGAGGTGTGTAGGGATGAGTGAGACGAGGCGAAGGTGGGTGAGGATGAGCAAGAGGAGGCAAAGGTGGGTACGGACAAGTGAGGGGAGGCGAAGTTGGGGTAGGGTTAGTAAGAACATGAGGTGGACAGATTTGATGCATTAGATAAGAATTGGGTGCAATCCCCATGAGGGCGACTCCTCACTACTTAAGAAATGGGCTGGAATGGACTGGTAGGAACTCTTCAATTGATGGGTTCGAGAATACAGTTAATCACATTTGGGCAAGGTTGGGTTGTTGACGTGACACTGAAAAATAAAAACGACACATATAGTAGACTAGGATATGAACGGGTATAAGAAGTAAAGGAGAACAAAGAGGGGATGAGTAAGGGGGGCGAAGGCAGGTAGAGATGATGTGAAGGCGAAGGATGGTAGGATGGAGCGTACAGATTTTGGAGGCGAGTGAGTGGGGCGAGACACGAGAGGTCGTCCATGGAGCCTTGCAGCACAGGTGGAATCATGGATGACTGAGCTGACAGAATGCTGTGAGAGATACAAACATCAGGGGAAGGGAGACGGAGGAGTGTGACTAGCATTCCATGAATTGTATTTGCACGCGGCGTGATAGGGCGCAACAGCAGTACCATTCGCAGAATATGGTGGATTAGAAGCCCCATGCGCGTGGGTGGGTGCATGGAGCAGGTTGGAGAACGAGAGCCATTGAGGCGTGTGAATGGAGCAGCTTGGGCCATACAGCTGGCATCGTCATGAGCTGTCCTGTGCCCTTCTCTAGCTGCACGCACACGTGCCACCGACGGCATGCCCACGAACTGTATTTCCATGTGTGTTTCAGAAGCCATGGTGACTAGCGCACATCATGCACCGTGGCATGAAGCAAGGCATGGAGCATGGCTTGCACCAGCAGACAACAGGAGCGCCATGCCATCCCCATAAAGCTCACTCTGTTGGGTCATCGCCCAGGGATGGAAGATAAATGTCAACATGAAACTGAGGCATACCAACGTTCCTGCATGTTAGGGGGTAGTGTAGCGGGAGGGGACGGGAGTTGAGGAAGGGGTTGTACATGCAATGCAATTGGCTTGTGCGATACTGAAGACAGTTGAGCAGCAGCACGGAAGTGGATAATGCACGAATGGGACACGTCAACATAGGATGTAAGTGATACGCATGGCAGCAAGGAGATGGAAAAAGAGAAGGGTATGAGGGAGTAGGGAGGGAGGGGGGAGGCGGGGGGGGTGTGGGCGGTTGCTCAGCGAGGAGAGGGGAGGGGTTTTGGAAGGACAGAGAGGACTTTTAGGAAGGGGTGAAGGGTGTTAAGGAGAGAGGGAGGGGGTAGGAAGGAGGGCAGGGAGGTACAGGGTTTGGAGTGCAGTGAGGCGACTGATGCTGCATGGGAGACTTCCACTGACAGCCACGCCTGAGAGGTCACTGGGATGGCATATATGCGAATCGGCGCACAGAAGTGGGTCCCAACAGGAGAAAACGGTCTTTAGTGAGAAATGTACTGAAGTATGGACATAGAGGAGATTGAAATCATGAAGTTGAATCCTACCAAAGATGAAGGATGTACGTCGCTTAAAAACTCAAAACGCTCTTCATAGTGATGGTTTGACACACGTGTTGGAAGCCTGAGTGGTCATTCTTGGCGAAGGGCCAGCACCAGCGGCAATGCCTCGTCCATGCCTTGCCGCATTGGCACTAGAACCCCTTCTTACAGGTACGTCAGACTCGTGGCATTGCTGATGGATTCAGGGATGGATCCATTGAAGCCGGTGAAGCTCAAATCTCTGTCGTGTGCCATGGCAAGCAGGTGGGTGGGGAAGGAAGGAACAGACTACGCATGGGAGAGATCGATGAGAGCTGAACTGACAGATTATGAGCAAGTAATTTCAAGCATGTGTCGCGGATGAGAAGGAGCGAATTGAGCTGCGTACACATATTGCAAGTTGGGCAAATGGCCGAGAAGTTCCATGCTTCCGGTCAGTCCAGTGTTCCCCAAATCCCTACAGAGAGCCATGCAAGAAGAAGGGGGTCACTTTATAAGATTTTTTAAGAATTGTGAGCTTCGGGGCAAGAATCTACCTAATGAGTAGCGCGTGAAATAGTGAAAGCAAGAAAGTCGCAGAAGAACCCATCTGGTCGCCAACAAACGTGTTTCAGTGGTGGTTCAGCACAACACAATACAGTCCCACAACAACCCAATCTGTGGCCTTTGAGGTGCCCATACGGCCATCCTGGTGCCTCCCTTCAAACAGTGGTATGCACTGACAGTTTCTGAAGCGCAGAGAGGGCTGTGATGGCTGCCGGCACAACTCGAGACTCAAGAACGTTTGCACTTTCTGAATACACATACCTACACCACACCAGCAGGAAATTACACATTATCCGAAGGTAAGAAAGTGAGGCAGTTGATGGTTGCGAGGGTGCAGGGACATTGCATCAAGCTCAGCAATGTCTGCTGCATACCGTTTCACAACCAAAGGCACTAGAGTCCATGCACGTTCACTCCACCACCAACAAGTTCAGAGCACTAGAGTCCCTGCACGTTCCCGTGGCAAGACCACTCCGCCCTTGCAGTGTTCCACTCTCTTCTTTCATCCATCATACCAAGCAGCCTTTCCATACCCCATGCACTGTCCTTAATTTCCCCTCTCTCCCCATCCTCACTTCCTTCTTACCCCCTGCCTCTGTAATCCTTCTCAAAGCGCTCAGCATCATCGCATGGCAGTACTCACAGGGAGGTTACCATGCCCTGTCGGTTACATGTCACGATGTCCCCCCACTCATTACAGAAAACGTTTAATTTGTTGTTGTTCCACAACCCCCATGCTCTGTCCATGGCCAGAAGCGCTTGCACTGGGGGGCGAAGTAGAGGAAGCAGTTGTTTGGGGGATGGAAAGGCAGGACGAAGTGGGTGAGTATGGCTCGCCAGCTGTCCGACTGTTGGCCGACTAGAACAGGTCGCATGCCTTGGAGACTCTACGTTGCTGCATTTCATTGTGGGAGTGAAGGGGAGCATTTGGGGCAGAGAAAGAAATCGCATTCTGCCACCCATCACCCGTAGACGAACGGTTAGAGAAAAATGACTAACCAGACCAAACGGTGGAGGCTTGGACCGATTATCACCAGCGCGTCTGACAGCGCTCAGCAATGTGCTGTAACAAGTGTGTGGCCTGTCATCAAACCTTCACCCGAGGTACTTTAAAACCCTTGTCATTCACTTCCTTGTGGCACAAAGAAATCCCGATTCAAGATGGACAGATAAAACCATTGATGCCAGCACTTGATTCCTTAGAAGTAGGGATCAAGCTACACATCCCATGGTGCTCGTCTCGCCTCCTACACATCAAGCTACACATCCCAACCAGCAACCAATATTGCCTTCCTTCAATTCCTCCTAGCGATACTGAGCCCTATATTATTGGCTATACCATTTCATATAATGATCATATAATGTCATCACAATGGTAGGCACGTTGACTTCTGACAGCATCTCAACGCAGCTATATTTGGGACTCTAAATTCCCAAAATCAGTGTGGTAGTGTCGCACTTTCAGGAAGAGTAGCACGGCATGCGCGTTTATCAATCGTATAGTAAAAAACCGTTTGCAATAGCACAATATTCTGACTCTCAAAATAGATGGAACTCCTGGTTAGGGTTCACAACTGCCTGCTTGGCGCCCAACTTTGAACCTCCAAGTCTGCTACTACCTTCGCAGCCCCAACAATATCTTCATACGGCGATAAGGATCTCACCTTGCGAGGTTTGAAGCTTGATGCGCGCCTGACTGTCCGTGACGGACGCAGCCGCCTGGCGCGGGCGACGCGGCGGGCGATGTACACGGTAGGCACTAGTAGAGCGAGACGTGAGAAGCATGACGACGAAAAGCACGCGGCAGACTAGTAAGTACAGGTCGAGAGAGACGACGCGGAGCTTCGAGTTTTGCGCCATGACAATGAAGAAAGATCTTTCTTTGAGGAGAACGCGCGGCTTTGCAAGAAGCAGGTATTTCAAGGAGATTTTCGGAAATACTGACCAAGAAACCAACTGCATTCTGAATGACCAGAAACAAGGGGAAACGAAGGCAGGACGAAGGTGCGCGAAATCGAGAATTTTCCGCGCGTGTTTTCGCCTGTGCTTGACTGGCTAGGCACAGACCAAGTCAAGTCGGTCCGGTTCTGTCTGGTTTGGCCCCAACTGGTTGGTCTGTTTGGTTTGACCTTGCTGGTCACCTGCCATGCTCTCACTTCACGCTGGTCACACCCATGCTGACGCGGCAGCATGACCAGGAGGTTCGCTACAACAAACAGCTTTATAAAATAGAATTGTGGCTACACAAATAGAAGTGTGAGACAGCTTAACTAGTACCAACAATTAAATCTATAGTGCAACCATACACACAAGGACCCAGGAAACACATAGCGATGGGGAATAAATAAAGAAATTCCTTGGAAAATATGTAATTAGGGCTGCCCGCAGTTACCGTATCATATATATTTTATTTATAATTTCCATGCCATAATTTGGCATGTCTGATTGATTGGTCTACACAGAAGGGATGTTATGTTGATTCAGGGCTGGAAGATTTTAATCATTGTTCTTTGACAAAAAAACAAACAAAAAACAAAAAACCATTATGACAGTCATGCAACAATGCTATTCAGCAGCTAGTGTTAGGGCATGTTCCTACAGCCCCTTATAAGGGAAATTTCAGCCCCTTAGCAATTCGCGAAGGTTTTTGGGTTTAGGGAAATTTCAGTGTGTTGTGACGCGAGCCTGATAAGAGGTTGGCCTGATAAGGTGCCTTAGGAACATGCCCTTAGGCAAACAATCATATGACGTGGTTTATCCATGTGGTAGGTCTCTTCACCCTCCGCCTCACAATAAAAAAATGGATTGCCGTCCTCTTTCATCTGAGTAATCTTGGAGGGGGAGGGGCGGAGGAAGGAGATTCTTCTATCTCCTGATCCATCTCCCGCTCGTCGCCCTCATCGTCCGACTCCTCAAAATCCTCATCCTCGCGCCACTGCTCACTTGGTCCCTCATCCGCCTCCACTTCTTTCCCCTTGCGCTAGCAACCTTCCACGGTGAAAACCACGCCCAGTGCCAGGCGCCTCTTTTGCAGGCTCTTCCAGGTGTCCAGAGCCGCATCCCAGTCCACATAGTACTCCAGCAGAGAAATCTGCATAAGTTCCGCCAGCCGAGCGTTGCAGAGTGACCCCCGAATCCAAGATTTGATGAAATTCTGCTGCGAAAACCCCCTCTCGCACTCGACGGTTGACGGTGGCAGAACTGTCAGCGCCTGCCACAATAGCAACAAATTGAGCCATCGCCTGCCAAACACAATGGAGGAAACAAGTCCCAGACGCTTAGCAATATTACTTACCAGAGTGCATCGATGCTTGTCATGAAATTTATCAGGCCTTGCATGAATCCCTCCTTGTCGTGGTGGGATTCCACGATGGGGCACCAGGTAGCGAGCTCCCTCGTGGTTGACTTAAGATCAAACCCCAGGAGCTTGTTCTGCCGCACGTGCATGCCAGCGAACAAAGCGCATCAGCTTCATGCAATGATGTCTGTGAAGATAACTGGTGTGGTTCCACATTGTGGATTGCGGCACAAGTGCTTCGTTCGCCGATGCTGTCAAGGCCAGGACAACGTGTGCACAACCCATTTGTCAAGCAGGCATCTGTGCCCTCCTTAAACATCCCTGCTTCACAACAGCACCACTTCCCTGTTCATAAAAGGGCTGTTGGAGGCTCACAGGAGCTGCAGCGATGCAAGGCGGGAGATGGAGTTAGGGAGGGAGCCATTGAGCTGGTTGTCGCTCACATCGCTGGGGATTGAGTGGGGCATGGTCGCAGTGGGTGGTTGTGCGAAGGGTACGGAGGGGAGAGATTGGAGGAATCAGGACAGGGGAAGAACAGGGGGGTGGAGGGGGGGGAGGGGGGGAGGGGAGACGGGGGCGAAGGGGGAAGAGGCGAGGGGAATAAGGATCCAAGCCAACGTGCAACTCTGCTCAAGCTACAAGTAGCTTCCAACCCCTCAAAGGCACGCGATGCTAGGGGTTTGGCTGCTATATTTGATGCGGCATGTGGCAGCTAGTTAAAAGGGTGAAGATACCGGACCTGAATTACAAGAAGACACGAAGCTCTCACATAGATGAAGAAGCGGCTGAGAAGCAAAAGGGGTGAAGGAGGACGAGGTGGTGATCTCACAGCACAAGTAGAGAAGGGATGTTCCACGAAGGAAGCGGGCCAGAGAATGCATTGCCTTGCAGTTCACTGTGTGGAGGCATGGGTTGCATGGGATGGGGATGGTGGAATAAATATTGGTATGCCTGAAAGGGGATGTTTACGGTTGCACATACACAACGAGAATTCTTGCCGTTTTTTAGTGAAATGAATAAAGATGCAATGAACGAGCCAGCATATCCTATCGGAGCAACTTTAAGGAGCGCTTACAGGGAACTTTAAGGAGCGCTTACAAGGAGCACAAACACGCACGCTCCTAAACCCTACAATCACATCGGAACAACTTTAAGGAGCGCTTACAGGGAAGTGAGGCCTCCGGAGACGGCAGAAGGAAGAGGCCCGTGGAGCTGGTTGTGAGCCATGGCGCTGCAGAGAGCACATGGGCGATGGTGGAAGGACGTGACATGATGGTATGGTAGCATGCTCACATGGAAGGTCCCTCAAGGAGCGTATGTCTTTCTCATGCGGTCACACCTCTGTTTCCTTGCCGCATGCACCATCTCATGGTTAGGTGCATGCATTTCACGTCCATTTCCCGCTTGCATGCTAGGCTCTCTTCCATGCCATAAGGGCTAGCATGGCACAGCAAGACAGTGTGGGTCCTGGGAATGTCGTGTAGCCTTGCAACCCATTCTGCTTGAATACGATATTCGTTGTACATTTGTGTTGGGGAACCCCTTGTGGTGGGTCCTCCAAACGTAAACAATTTGTTGGTCAGTCCAATCACATCTGCGACCAGTTGTACCATCACCAGCACCTCACAAGTGGGTTGCTCACTGCAAATGCATTCATAAGAAAATCTGGAGACTCAGTTTACCTTCTTCATGTGCAGTGCAGCTCCTTTCCTTCCTCATAAACTGAGGAGCTCATGGGATGAGTGGTGGCACTTACAGGACGTTGAGAACTCACAGAGGATTGAGGTACTCACAGGGTCCTGAGGGGCTCCATGGTCCAAATGGCGCGAGGAACAACGCCAGAGAAGCGGTTGTGGGAAACGTTGCTGTTGGCACAGGTGAGCAGCATTGGCAAGGAAATGCTACAGGTGTTTAGGAGGAAAGGGCATCTGATTTCGAGCAAGGTATGGCCAGGTCAATTGCGAGAACAAGGTATGCCTATACCACTTACAAATGAGCCAGCATCTCCATCTGAGCAATTTTTGGTGTAAGGGGTCCTGAGAAGTTGTTGTGTGCGAGGTTGCTGCACGCAATAAAGGGCATGGCTAGGATGCAATGAAGGGTATGGCTAGGATGCAATGTAATGAGTGGCTCGGATGCAATGAAATGAGTGGCTTGGATGCAACGAAATGAGTGGCTCGGATGCAATGAAATGAGTGGCTTGGATGCAACGAAATTAGTGGCTTGGATGCAACGAAATGAGTGGCTTGGATGCAACGAAATGAGTGGCTTGGATGCAACGAAATGAGTGGCTTGGATGCAAATGGCATCATGTTATCTGCACGTGGAGGCACAAATGCGTGAGACGGAAAGAAGAGGTCTGCAAAGCATGATTGAGAACGGGTTACATGGTTTCAGCTTCAGAGGCATCCCAATATCCATCTTGCGCGAAAATGGAGGGGAAGGGTCCAGTGAAGCTGTTGTTAGGGAAGGGAAGTGGGGGGGAAGGTGGGCAATGATGCATGAAGCCGGTGAGATGATGAAGGAAAGAGGATGGGAGGGGGTAAGGAATACATGAAAAAAGGGGGAGTATAAGGAGAAACTGTGCAATGGATGAAATTGGTGTATCAGCAAGTCACAGAAAATTCATTTGCCAGCTGATTAAATCTTGCCAATTCACAATGCAGAAGCCACCTAAGACATTTGTGTTATAACTCTTTACCACACGAATGCACAAATGCGGAAATTATAGTGGAAGAAGTTGCGTCTAAGTAAATACTGGACCAAGAAGCAGAAAAACGGGATCAAAACCCCAATCACGTGTAGCTCAATCAAACCACGTTGGCGTGTGACAAAGCCACTAAGTAAACAGTAAGTGGAACCTGAATCATACTTAGAAATGCAATGCACCATGTACTCATATGTATCCATGAGAAGCTTACAGATGAAAAAGTGACACAACGGAGTGGGTCGGGAACGGGCCAGAGAAATTGCATGATGCGGCATACAACCTGAGGATCAGTCGATGAAAGAAGGGTTGGAGGGTGGGAAGGAAAGAAGGGGGAGATGGGAGGGGGGACGAAAAGGGGAATGGTTTGTGTGCGTAGAGTCTAGAGGTCAGGAGGGTAGAATGAAGGAGAAATACAAAGCTGAGAAAATTACTATCAAACATGCAGCAAATGAGAGGAGGAACCAATAGACAGTGCCGTGATATATAACATGAAAATTTCAACTTTTGATGCAACCTTTGCTGATTAACATACAACAAGATGATGTATCATTAGGTGTCACTCACCCCATTGAAAATTGACCTGTCTGTTTCAAGAGCCCATCCAAGCCTTTGCTAAGAGGATTGTAGCTGAGGTCCCTGTGGAGGGCATGAAAGACGGTTAGCATGGCAAGCAAGCACTGGTGATGGGAGCATTGGAGTAGCGGGAGAGGCATGCAGTGCGATGGATGGAAAGAGGGGAGGAAGCGCCTGGCCGTGTTTGGTACTGCACCCTCGGCTGTTCTGCACGCGTTGTTTAATGGGTGTCGCAGCCTTTGAAGACAGCTTGCAGCCAGCTTGCAGCCAGCTTGCAGTATAGGTCCTGTAGCTGCAAACCCTTTGAAGACAGCTTGCAGAAGGGGCTCACCCTCCTCCACGCCCTTTTCCCGGCACTGCATTGCCCTTTCACCCAGGCACGTGGGTCCTGCAAAGGCTCCTCTAGGGGAGGCCACGCCTCGCCTCCGCGCCTGTGGACGTCGGGCCTTGTGGGCTCGGCAATGAGAGCTCGCCACAGCTTGTTTTGCAGCTTCGCCCAGCCCCAGCAGCAGCTGATTCCCTCGATGCCGATAGCCAACACATCACGGCCCGTTGTTTGCAGATACCCTCGTGGCTGACCCATTTGTAACCAGTACTGCAAATGTCCCACACCTGGGAAATGCCAATGGCGGATGCTTAGAGTTCATTGCAATGACCCGTGGGCAAATATCGTGGGCTCATTTTACCTTTCTCCATTGTCAATCATCCCCCCTCCTCCCCCCTTCCAACATGTAAGCATGCCGAACAGGTGGCATGGTGCACGCCGCATAACTCACATGAGATAGGCAGACAATCTGGCAGGCACGGATCCCCTGAAGTCGTTGTGGCTTAAATTTCTGAAGAGTGTCAAGTGGGACAGACGCATTTTCTTATGAATATGGGAAGTTCTTAAGACCATGACGTGGCAAGCACCAATGGAACGCGAGACACGAGCATGTGTTTTGTCCAGTCGCGTCATACCTCTTGATTCGTTCTGAACCTGTGAGTAAGTTAGGGTAACTTGAATCGAGCTACTTCACTTGCAAGTTACAACTTAGAGTGAATCAAGGCCCTGGTCCAAAAGCATAACTTCATGTTCCGGGGATGAGACGAGATGAGTGGAAAAGATCAGAAAATAATAGAAGACAGAGACAGGCATCAGGTATCATCAGGTTGTCTCCTCGAGCACTGTGATGTGAACCCCACTCCCAGGCCAGGCTGCACTCATTGCCAAGAGCGAGGTGAGTTCCTTTGCAGAGTTATGCCTCCCCCCTCTCTACCCCCCTTCCCCTCCTCTACCCCCTTCCCCCTCTCTACCCCCCTTCCCCCTCTCTACCCCCCTTCCCCCTCTCTGCCCCCCCTTCCCCCTCTCTGCCCCCCCTTCCCCCTCTCTGCCCCCCCTTCCCCCTCTCTGCCCCCCCTTCCCCCTCTCTGCCCCCCCTTCCCCCTCTCCATCTCCTTCTCGCTCGCTCACGTCCATGTGATCTCAAACACCCAGGACTCACATTTGCATGATCGCGTTCAAGGCGGTAGGCAGGGTGGTGAGGTGATTGTGGGAGAGGTCTCTGCACGCAGCAAGGGCAGGCAGTGAGAGCCGGCGGAGGGGAGGGGATGTGGAGGGGAGGGCAGGTGAGGGGAGGGGATGTGGAGACATGCACGCTGAGACAGAGGCGCGAATGCTTCTGTGCCACTGTCTAGGGGATGACACATATTGGCACAGTAACTCTTGGGTCTGCCCAAGTTGTTAATTGCTTGGTTGGGTCCCGAAAACAGGGGGGTGGCACATTTGCAAGTTGCCTGCTGGGTACCCAAGTGCCCACCAGACAGGTGGGGTGGACTTTTAGAGGCAACCGGTGCCTGCCACCAAAATGAGGGGTATGTACAGGTGTTCCGTGTTAGAGGCCTCGTGTTAGAGGCCCTCGCTAAAAGAGTCCCTTTTCCCCCATGAGTAGAATTTTCCTATATCGCCTAGGGTTGGCCCGACCTCTATAGTCCCTTTTTTGGCGGGAAATTTTGCAGCTTGTCTGAAACATAGCACGAATCAGCTCCGCAGCCAATCAGAGGTTCCAGATCGAACCAGCCCAACATTCAGTTTGATATTTAACTTCGCAACTTTAACTAGTTCCTTCCGCTGACCATGCTTACTGTCATAATCCCAGCCACTAACCACTGGGATAAAAGGGCTTGTTTGTGTAGCGAGTGAGTGCGCCCATAACCCCCCAGGCCGACGTGCCTGTAACCCTTCCCTAGGATCAAACGGGGATCTCCAATGGACCTCTGACACCCCCCCACACTGGGATGCCCGAAGTGCACACACTAATATTCAAACCCCGAGACCTTCGCTCTAATAACATGTCAGAATCCCAATCACTAACGACTGGGATAAAAGGGCTTGTTTGTGTAGCGGATGAGTGCGTGTGAAAACAGAACGAGGAATGATTGCATTGAGCAGCATGAGGAGTACAAGTAGGAAACCCTAAAGTGTTGTACCCCATATGAACTACCCCACTACAGCCTACACAGACTATAGCATATAAGTTTGACACACCCCCATAGGCAAAGTGGGGGAGAACAAGAGGTCAAAAGACCAGTCGAGAGAAGCAAAGCAAGCTCAAGGTGGATCACGAAGTCACCACGCATTCTGAGCACAATCAAATGGCCACAAGGCCAGTTCACATGCAGAGTTATATAAAGGCAAACAAACAATACAATGATCACAACCTAGCAAGTGTAAGCAAGCAAGTATATGTATAAAGATCACAGTACAAGCAAAGTCAAGAAGTAAGCAAGTGAGGCCCAGTGGGCACAAGGCCTAGAACAGTACAGAAACGCTGATGATCACAAGGCTGAAGTGCCTTTGTGAAGACATCAGCAGTGTTGGCCCGAGTGGCCACGTAAGCAAGACAAAGCTGACCACGGTGCTGCAACTCTCGAGCAAGGAAGTAACGCAGAGCGATGTGCTTCGTTCTGTGCTCCAGTCTATGCTCCTGACACAAGGCAATCATGGCCTTGTTGTCGATGTACAGCACTGGAGGAGAACGAGGCGGCTCTCCCAGGTCGGTCAGCAGGTAGGTGAGCCAGCGTAACTCCTGTGCAGCCATGGCCCCTGCGTAGATCTCAGCCTCACAGCTGGAGCTGAGAACAGAAGACGAGCGGGTAGACCGCCACGAAACAGAGCCGGAGCCAAGGCCGAAAGTGTAACCCTGTGACGACCGCTGCGTAACCAAGTCGTCAGCCCATGAAGCGTCTGCGTGACCAGTGAGGACAACTCGAGCCCGTACTCCATGCACGAGCCCCATGCCCGACGTACTGCACAAGTAGCACAACACCCTCTTAGCGGCATCCATGTGCTCCTTCCAGTGTCTCCCAGGAGCAACATAGCGTGCCAGGATGCTAAGAGGGTATGCCAGGTCAGGTCGAGTGCAGGTCATCAGGTTCATGAGGCAGGTCGACGGTGAGCTTAGTGGGGCAAAGGGAGAGAAAGTGGTCCTTGACTGAGGAAAGGTAGTCAGGGAGACAGGTGACTAGGTAGAAGAGGGTGATATACATGGGGGGGGGGGGTCTTGGCGCAGAACTCGGAGAGAAGCGCAGCGCGGTAGCGGGCGTCACTAGTGCGGAGGTGAGTAATGAGGTCAGCGACTATGGCAAAGGCGGCCAGGTCAGGAAACAGGTACGGTAGCATGAGGCGGCTGAGGGTATCAATGGCAGGGGAGGAGTAGCGCACTACGACAGCGTCATACAAAAACTTAGCAGTCTTGTACTGGCCAAAGTGCGCGCGCTCAGCAGAAGGCAGGTGACTACCAACAGCAAGGCGAGCAACAGCGTCACGAGTAGTCCACTGCGAGCGAACCATACTGTCAGCATCGGCAGCAGGTGCAGCAGCGGCGCCGGACGTGAGATCAAAAGGCGAGACTCCGTCCTTAGAATCGCACTGAAGAAAGAGCTGGAGATCATCTACCCAAACATTGAAGTCAACTGCACGACCCTCAGCATCGAAGGTAAGAACTGTAGGGCTAGCCATGGTGGCAGTAGTAGTAGTGGCAGCAGTAGCAGCAGTACCAGCAGTAGCAGCAGGAGCAGCACGGGTAGGGCAGCGCGGCTCAGTAGGGCAAAGCGGCGCAGCTCGGCAGAGCGGCGCGGCTCGGCTGGGCGGCGCGGCTCGGTAGGGCGGCGCGGCTCGGCTGATCGGCGCGGCTCGGCTGAGCGGCGCGGCTAGGCAGGCAGGCAGGCGCGGCTGGCGCATGTAGCGGGCAGGTGCTCACCAGGGGCGGGTAGGTCAGGTGCCACCGGCGGCAGGTAGGGCAGGCGCACGACAGGCGCGGGTAGGGCAAGCGCTCGACGGGCGACGGCAGGGCAGGCGCTTGACGGATGGCTGCAGGCGCTCGACGGGCGGGTAGTGTCAGATTTATATGACATTACTACTGTAGGCTATAGTGGGGTAGCACATATGGGGTACAGTTTTCCTAGGGTTTGCATTTGTACCCAACTTTCCTTTAGTCAATCATTCCTCGTTTCTTCTCATGGTATCGAGCAGGTTCCCTAGTGGGAACGATTCCTAGGGCCCACCACCACGAAATTTTTTTTTTCCTGCCCGGAGCGCGCTTCGCTCTGGCCCGAGTCGCGCCCTGTGTGCTCTCCCTACCGTCGCGCCCTCGCTAGGCCCCTCACGGCCCCGTCGCGTCGCCCTTAGCGGCCCTCTCACGGCTCGTCGCGCCGCCCCTACGGCCCTTCGTGCCGCTCTTACGGCCCGTCGCGCCCGTCGCGCCGCCCTTACGGCCCCTCGTGCCGCCCCTTACGGCCCCTCCCGCGGCCCCTCACGGCCCCCTACGGCTCGTCGCCGCCCTCAGCGACCCCGCCACCTACCTGTGCGGCCCCGCCACCTACCTGTGCGGCCCCGCCACCTACCTGCGGCCCCGCCACCTACCAGCGGCCCCGCCACCTACCCGCGGCCCCGCCGCTTACCTGTGCTGGCCCCGCCACCTACCTGCGGCCCCGCCACCTACCAGCGGCCCCGCCACCTACCTGCGGCCCCGCCACCTACTAGCGGCCCCGCCACCTACCTGCGGCCCCACCACCTACCTTTGCGGCCCCGCCACCTACCTTTGCGGCCCCGCCACCTACCTTTGCGGCCCCGCCACCTACCTTTGCGGCCCCGCCGCCTCCTCTCCGCGGCCCCGCCGCCTCCTCCCAGCGGCCCCGGACGCCGCCCTCTCAGCGGCCCCGCCGAGCCGCCCAGCAGCCGAGCCGCCCAGCAGCCGAGCCGCCCAGCAGCCGAGCCGCCCAGCAGCCGAGCCGCCCAGCCGCCGAGCCGCCCAGAAGCCGAGCCGCCGAGCCGCCCAACAGCCGAGCCGCCGAGCCGCCCAGCAGCCGAGCCGCCGAGCCGCCCAGCAGCCGAGCCGCCGAGCCGCCCAGCAGCCGAACCGCCGAGCCGCCCTGCAGCCGAACCACCCGAGCCGCCCTGTCCGATAAGAGCAGCGCCTCTTTCACAGCCCTGCCCTCACCCTACTGTTTGCGCTGCTAGTCTACTGCTGTCATGGCTACCCCTAGTGTCCTAGCTTTTGACGCTGAGGGTCGGGCCATTGACTTTGACGTCTGGGTAGATGACCTGCAGCTTTTCTTACAGTGCGACAGAGCAGACGGCCTCTCCCTCTTTGACCTCACTTCTGGTGCCTCTCCTGCCCCCGCTTCTGATGCTGACGCCACTGTTCGCTCACAGTGGGCCACGCGCGATGCTGCTGCACGTCTTGCTGTGCGTCGCCACCTGCCTACCTCTGAGCGTGCGCACTTTAGCCAGTACAAGAGTGCTCAGACCTTGTACGACGCTGTAGTTGCGCGCTACTCCTCACCTGCCACTGCTGCACTGAGCCGCCTCATGCTACCGTACCTCTTCCCTGACCTTGCTGCCTTTCCCACAGTCGCTGACCTCATTACGCACCTCCGCACTAGTGACACTCGCTACCGCGCTGCGCTTCCTGCTGAATTCTGCGCCAAGAATCCCCCCCCCCATGTACATCACCCTCTACTACATAGTCACCCGGCTCCCTGACTCCCTTCGCGTAGTCAGGGACCACTTCCTCTCAGTTTGCCCCACCACTCTCACCGTTGACCTCCTCGAGAAGTCCCTCTTAGCAGCAGAGAAGAGCATAGTAGCTGTAGGAGCCTCTCGTGGTGACCCTCGCACCCCCATCTTTGAGGGGTGTTCCCCCTCCCCCCTTTTGCCCTCTGTTGCCTCTGCTGCTGCGGCCGACCTCGTTCGGCTTGAGTCGGTCGGTGCGGTGTCTACCCCTAGCGGGAGACGCCGCCCTGGCAAGGGCAAGGGGGGCCGGGGCACTGGAGGGGCTAGCGGGGGCGGTGGAGGCGGCGGTGGAGGCAGTGGAGGGGGTGGGGGTGGCGGTGGGGGTGGTGGTGGGGGTGGAGGTGTCGGTGGCGGCGGTGGAGGCGGCGGCGGCGGTGGTGGTGGGAGTGGAGGTGGCGGCGGTGGAGG